TCTTATTGATTTGTTAAATTGTTTCCTACTTAAAAGTAATGCTTATTTTCCTGGTGTTTTCATTCTTAATATCCTTTGACTTATCCAGCATTTCTTCAGAGTTTTGTTTATGTCCTTGTAAAAATAAGATTTATTTGCCTTATCAAATTGCACTTCAGTGACTGAATAATATTTTGCAGGAACATAACCACTTCGGATGATTTCACCCTCTGTATACAAAGAACTTTAACCATCCGGATAAGTTCACCTCTTTATACCAAGGACATTTAACATCCGGATGATTTTACCCTCGTATCTCCGGATTATATTACGGATACCATAGACATTTACTGTGTCAAAACTGTTGTAAACAGCTTAATTCGCTGCGAAATTTAACAAAAATACTCATACTTAGGCTTTTTATCAACTTTGAAGAGGAGTTATAAATAAACATTTTACTATCTTTTTTGTATATATAGGTTTAAAACTTTTTTGCAAGACCAGTGGCAAACTATTTAATATTCATATATGTATCTTGTTATATACTTGCATTTAAGCGAGTACAATGCAGGGGTAAAACAAACTGGTTAAAGTTGCATACTATCCAAAGAAAGGGACAGACATATTACGATTATATTATTAATAAGAATTCATTAGTAATTTAATCAGCATAGAGGTATTAAGACCTCTGCATTGTCCTCGCAGTGGTTTTCCATTCGTTTGATGTGTTTGGGCTTTAGATTTGGGACTTTCCGTTTTGAATTTTCTTGGAGTTCGGTATTTTTGTTATTTTACTTTTTACATATAATGCATAGGAATCTCGTCTTTCCAAATAAGCGAGAGGTTTTGCTAGCCATAAAACCATTTTCAACCAACCATTTTTTCTTTAAATGTCATGTATTAAGTCAGGAATAGGGCAGTTGTTATCAAATAGTTCGTTTCTATGTATGTTTGCGTTTGTTTTGTTGCACTTCAGTGTTTCGTGTTCCGTTGTTTTCCTCTTATAGTTGATGTGTTTCCCTCGGTTTTAGTTTGTAACCCGGGTTTGTTTTCTCTCAATCGATTTATGACTTTTGAACAGTGGTATACTACTTTATTCCTACAAAAATATTTGTTATAAAAAGATTACGCACAAAACATTGGACAACATGTCTATAGTTCTTATGACAAGAGTTTTGGTTGCCCCAGTGCTTCTTTTCTGGGTTTTACGTCCAATGAAAAAACTTATTGTTTTGAATTTTTAATATTCCTGTGAGAAGGAGACAAATGCATGTGTTGAAATACTAGATGGACTTGTTGATGGTCTGTTCCTTTATTGAACCTACTGGAAGTAATTTTGGAACTGCTTTCCTGATCAACAGAAATGTTTTCATTTGTGCTACCTAAATTTGGTCTGACGAGTTAATAAAGATGAGACGGTTTCTTTTTTAATATGCATTTAAAAATTAATCTTATTTTAAGTTGATTTACACCAGATCTCCACTTGCTCCGGTTTACTGTGTCACATAATGAAGTGATCTACATTTTATGTTTAAATTACCCAGACCTCTCTTTAGTGATTAATGGCTAAGACGTTTTTGTCCAATGGGAAGTTGTTCTTAATATTTGGACTCAGTGTTGATACCGCTTCAGTGTACTATGGGAAAATACACTCCTTTACCGAAGCAATCATACTTATGAATATATGAGAAAAAAGTAACATAATACACCAGTGGCAATCAGGACCACAAGGACACGAAATAGAGACAGTAGTGTGACCAAAAGATAAAATACAAAACAGGCAATCAGAACCACAAGTCAAAGAAAGAGAAACAGTAGTATGACAAAAAGGGAAAAGTACACGGGGACCATCAGAACCACAAGTCAAAAAAAGAGAAACAGTAGTATGACAAAGAGGGAAAAGTACACGGGGACCATCAGAACCACAATTAAACGAAAGAGAAACAGTAGTATGGCAAAAAGGGAAAACATAAAAGAGCAATCAGAACCACAAATAGAAGAAAGAGAGACAGTAGTATGACAACAGGGATATATACAAAGGGGACAGTCAGAACCAATAGTAGACGAAAGAGAGACAGTTCTATGACCAAAAGATAAAATCATAACGAATAATAAGGTCCCCACAAGTTACAGAAAGAGAGACATTAGCATGACCAAATGGAAATATACAAAATGGGACTATCAGAACCACAGGTAACGAAAGAGAGACAGTACTATGACCAAAAGGGAAGATGCAAAGCTGAAAATCTGAACCACAAGTAGACGAAAGAGAGACGGTACAATGACCATAAGGAAAAATACAAGGGGGACAATCAGAACCACAAGTAGACGAAAAAAAAAGTTGTATAACCAAAAATTAAAGTGATAAGGGACAATTAGGTCCACAAGTCACAGAAAGAGAGACAGTAGTCTGACCAAAAGGAAAAAATGCTGACAATTAGAACCACACGTCAAAGAATGAGATACAGAACTATGATATAAAGAAAAATACGAAAAGACAATAATATCCACAAGTCAAAGAAAGAGATACAGTGACATGCCCAAACAGGAAAAGAAGAAAGAGGTAACCAGAACTTTCAGTCGAAGAAAGAGGGACAGTACCATTTCGATCGTATTTAATTAAAGTTGGATCGTACCTGATTACAGTTGAGATTTATATCAGAAAAACATGTCACACGCACTATAATCAGTGGCATGCGTTAATTTTGATATAGAAGAGTCGATAATAAACACCCTCGCAAATTTGCAGTTTCTCTCGCTATCTGAAGACTGCTGTTCAAAAGAAAACGCTCAAAGCCAAGGATGTATAAGCACAGAAACACGTGATGGGCTATATGAACAAAAGGGACATACAAATTCGTAAACTTAAAGGTAAACCTTGTCAAACTTTTGAAACAACTGTCTTAACATGCATGCTTAGGACAAACCAAAACTAACAAAAACAATGACTTGTATGACTTTGCTTCTATACTGATGGAAATCAAAACTAACAAAAACAGTGACTTGTATGATGTTGCATATATACTGCTGCATTATTGCAAAATCATTACCAATGCGATTCTTCTTGCAAGTGTTTCTTTATTTTTATTATACTCTTTGTTTATGAAAAATCCATCATGTGTAAATGAATTGCTGACAATATAATGGTAATGTTAAGCATGACTCTGAAGCCACATAAGTATCTGCAGTGTCATGAAAATACGTTCATAAATGAAAGTCACTCTAAAAATTTCCCTTAGGGAACCGACAAGTTTTTCATTTGCATGCGTAATACTGAAAAATACTTGAACGATGTATACTAATTCAATTACAATTGTACTAAATATCAAGGATCTTCCAAGAATATTGTTCCTTTTACAAAAATATAACATGTTTGTAGAACCGAAATTAACAAGGATTAAACCTTGATCGACGTCTGGTTTATTTTAGATGTCTACTGACTTGACAATATAACTGATATAAAAATAAGAATGTGGTATGATTGGCAATGAGACAACTCCCCACAAGAGACCAAATGACACATAAATTAACAGCTATAGTTCACCGTACGGCCTTCAACAATGAGCAAAGCCCTAACCGCATAGTCAGCTATGAACAATTTTGTGGAATCGGACATGTTTATGATCCTGGTTCCCTACAGGTAAACCTAAATTCACCAAACACAATAATGACTTATCAATAGAGTCTCAAAATGTCAATTGAATATTGAATGGAAATGTTTTGGCCAATTATTAAAGAACATTTCCGACAGGCTAATTGGCAAAAATTGCCATAAAAAGAATCACGTCAATATTTTGATTTATAACAAACGTTGTTCACACATGGCATGACCTGTTGATGAGCCTACAATTGATATATATATATAACTTAGTCTGTTTTATATATATTTCATCATTATTTTTTTAATTTTAAAAACTTTCATCCGCAACAAATGATACACGAACAATACATTTCCGTGTCTGTCTGTATACGTTTGTAGATTCAATAGACAAGATAACGTTTAAATATTCTCATGCTTTTGTAGTTAACAATATCAAACTCCTTGGAGAATTTGTCTGAAGAAGTCACTAAAGCTTGCAATCAAATTGAAAACCGATGAACACATTTAATATTTTAAATTGAAGAATAGACGGATGGGAAGAGTGATGCCATGAGTGAAAACTTGCTACCTAAGCCAGGCACTAAAAAGTCAAAAGCTTACAATATACTATTAGTTACGGTAACCCAAAGATTCTGGTATGAAATGAAGAATATTAGAAAATACTTAAAAATAGACAACATGCATGTATATGTTTCGCCGGGGTTAGAATCGGGATAGTCATTACAGTTCAAACAGCAATCCTTAAAATAAATATAACTATAAATTGGTTGAGACTCTGAAAAATAAACTGTCTTTATCTGTTTTATCTTTCAAATTTTCGTTGCGCCAGAAACTCGTAACATGTCAACCTAAACGCATTGACTACTTAGCTGTTTGAGTGGTACCGACACTGATCTCAATCATTATTACTGGATACTAGTACATTGCATAACTTGCTGTGACAGAAACCGTCTTCTGTACTGAAAACTATCTATTTAATTAAGTAATTACTGTAACTGAAAAGTGGAAATCAGATTAGATCATAAAGGATTAAGATCACAAGTAACAAACTAGTACAGACGTTATTACATTATAAAAATCTTAATTTAATTCTCTTCCTACTTTCTATCTCTCACAATTATATTTTGAATAGATTTACAAGTTATATTAAAGACAATCTTTATATTTGATTAATATTACAGTAGTGGAGTTGAATCGATCCCACCAAGCGATTACCAATCAGTGTTATAGAATGACCGATACATGTCCAACCCTCTCTCCCACGGGTAAACATACAATGTATACCAAACACCAATCAGCATCTTGACGAACAATTGGATGTAATTGTTAGTATCTTATTTTGTTTTACCTAAGCTACTTAACTAATGGAATTGTTACAATCCATACCAATTAAAATAAAAATAACTTTGATTATTTTCAGGTATTTTACTGTTGTGAAGGGAAGCTGCTTCCTCATTTAACTTAAGCAATTGAACTGTACACATCTCAATATACCAAACCATTGATGATCATATCAGAGGTGGATTACAAAGGAAAGACATGTGTTACTATCACATTAACTATTATCATTTTGTTCTGCTTAATTTGTAATCACTAAAGAAGAAAGTGTTATAACAGAAAATGATCTTCAAGACTGAAGATTTCCGGTATTTGAATATACAACAGATCTGAATTAGTCTCAGCAGCTCTTAAAATGTCAAATAATATATCTACTGCCGGAAATTTTTCGTCCAGTGTCACGGAGATGATGTCTCAAAATACAGTTCAGAATGGAACAATGTGTTATCTGAATTACTGTGGTGAACAATTGGATGGCATCAGAGAAGAAATGGAGAATTATATTAAACCAGCTTGGTATGAGTGGATTGTAATTATCATTTATATAATAACATTTATAGTCGGACTGACCGGAAATGTTTTAGTATGCTTTGCAGTATGGAGAAACCGACAGATGCGGACTGTTACTAATATGTTTATTGTGAACCTTTCCGTCGCCGATTTGGGTATTATAATAATATGTTTACCTCCGACGTTACTGGTGGACGTTACTGAAACCTGGTTTATGGGTCTTGTAATGTGTAAACTAGTTTATTTCCTTATGGTGAGTATGACTTTAGTTTAGATTAGTTCAAAAACATTATCTCATCTAAAATATATTTTGTAAATGCTATTTACTGGCGCTATTGCCATGGCGTTGTCAGTTTAATTCCGAATTATGAGTTTGAATGTCCATTTGGTATCCTTCGCCTCTCTTTTTCAAACCAACCTACAGTAACAGTTTTCTTTTTGCGTCTATTTATCAAGGAAATAAGGAAGAATCCAATGCATATTTTATTGTTAATTGATTGCATTTTTCTGTAAATATAAATTGAACCAAATTAAAAAGAGAATACATTTAAATTTAAATGACTAACAGCAAAGTAATCATACTAGAAATATAATGAAGTTTTAAATATCACAACCTTCGCGTGTTAATATTGAAATAGCAATAACATATTGTATTAGAAATACAATAAAAACACGATCATTGAAGACTATATAGCCTATCATATAGATATCAACTTAAAAAGTCATTTTATATTAAAGGCCTAGAACTGTTTAGTATTAGCTATATTTTTATAATTAAGTCTACTAATCTAGTATTATGTTTGGCAAGTGATTCCTCAATATACTCACTACTATCGTTTACATGTATCAGAGCATCATTCACCATATAACGTCACACATTAACGAAAACCGGTATATCGTAAAATGTGCAAGGTTCTATTCTATCAAACATCCTTTCAATCATTTTGATTTTTTTTTAGTTTCTGAAAGAAAAATGCTAGCTGTCAGCTTACCAAGCCATGATTTTGTTGGTTTTTCGTTTATTTTAATTTCGAGTAACTAAATGGTACATAAAATTAAGAAATAGGAAGTCTGTGGTTATTTTTTTGAACGGAAATTGCTTCTGAAAAGTAAAAATTGTCATTAAAATCTTAAAATGATCTTTAGTTTAAACTAAAACGTTCATCATTAATACAAGTATTTTCCCGATTCCCGAATGTCGTTCTAAAGATTTTAAAGAAAACAAAAGTTTTCCATAGATTTTGGGGTTCTTTTAAAGATTTTTCATAATAAATTAGTTATATTATATTCTCACTAAATTATTAAAATAGTGGTATGTAGATTAGAATGATATATTTTTCTAAAAATCACATATACACAGCACGATATTTAAAATTTTGTTCATAAATATCTACTGCTAGCTGGATAATTGTAGTAATTATGATAAGAATTTACATGTAATCTTGTGTAAGGTGATCTAAACTAAAGAATTTTCATATAAATAGCAATGTATTCATTATCAAAAGTCGTCGTAAAATAAACGAGTTCATGAAATGCATGTCACAGGTTACAGATCTTCACTAAAAAAATCTGATCTGCATTCTACACAAGTTTAAAACCTTTGCTGAACTGTCACATTTTTAGGACTGAAATAGTAACTGTTCTTCGACGAAAGAATGAAAAATAAACACTTAATGCAGATTATTGGTGTGTTAAATGTCTGTGTTCCTAATCAAACTCACGAGCTCTGACCCTGTGCAACTGGATTGGTATGTATCAACAGAAGCTCTTTTAAAACTCACGAGCTCCGCCCCTGCGCTACAGGACTGGTATAGATCAGAGTAGAACGTCTCATACTCACTAGCTATGCCCCCGTGTTACACAACTGGTATGTACCAGATTAGCTCGTGTCAATTTCACGAGCTCTGTTAATGCTATATAGGAATGGTATGTATCACAGTAGCTCATATCAATCTCGCAGCCCTACACGAATGACATGTGTCAGAGAAAGTCAAGCCAAACTGACGGGCCTGTCCATGCGCTGCAGGACAAGTATGTATCAGAATAGCTCGTTTCAGCTCCTGCGCGCTACAAGAATGGCATGTACCTTATAAGCTCGTGTCAAACTCACAAGCTCTGATTCTGCCCTACAACTAGCTCTTGTCCCTGCGCTTCGGGATATGATAAATACCAACTGATAATTAAATACTTTCAAAATCAAGCTACATGTATACTCCATCTTTTTAGTCTTATTCTTTGCGTCAGTTATGTAAAGTTTTAGTATGCTTTCAGGTATCAATAATTCAAAACAACAAAATTGTATACATATATATATTTGCTACCCCAATTATGATTTTGACGGTTTGCCTCACCATTCTGCATATATATTTGTCTTCTGATTTTGAAGAATAACATGAATTAACTTTTCGATGTTTGTCCTGCTAAAAACAAATTGAAATTGTGGAAAAAAAATCTAATATATATTTTAAAGAATTATTTTAGAAGAAAAAATTCTGGCCTGTTGGGGAAGACATTTATTGTTCACTAGGGAACACGTGTGCAAAGCTAATACAATAGATGTAATTATTATCTGTTTTATACTAATCTGTCAATACTCATATATAGATATATATATATATATATATATATATATATATATTATATATCGATCATGTTGAATATATACAATTGTTATTTTTTTTTAAACTGGGGATTCGTAGAATGTACAATGATGTCTGCGAAACTAGCTTTCACCTAGTACATTGTACTAGACATCAAATAACTATACCTTATTTGGATACATAAAATCGATTTGTACAAGACTTAGAAAACGGTAGAATGCAAGGCTTTGGTACTGTCCGGTTAAAATTTAATTGTAATAGTGCACTCTTTTGACAGTTGGGCAAAATCGCTGTTTCTGTTGCTGAAATAAATTGCATTTACGTTGTTTGTATTTTCAAGACAGGATGAAAATTTAAATATAGTTAAAACATGCTGTTAGCTTTTAATTAAATACGTAATGGAATGCTGCTATTCAACAAATTGTAGCCATACATTGGACAAATGAGTGCATTTCTCAAACCATTTCTGAACAAGTAAATTGATTTGGGCATATAATAACATTAATTGGTTAGGCTTAGAATTACAATTATAATACTAATTAGTTATATGTGAATGAGGATGGTTTCGTTAAGTGTAATACGGGCTACTACAAGAGTTGACGGCAAGAACGGCTCGGTTTAAATATTCAACAGACAGAAGGATTCACATTATATGAATGTCTTCTGAGGGGAGTGTGTGGTCACAATTCACTTGAAAACCCAACATATACTTCAACAACCCTTAATACAAAGAAAATAATGGACAATCATAGATCTAATGTATGTTTATTAGTACTTTAAAACAAAGATGAAGAACGGGTTCGCCTTTCACTTTAATGGGTACTAAAATTTCAAAAGTGTGTTTATCTACAACGATATCTGTGTGGTTTGCAAATGCACTAAGAGAAGTCTTTCAAAATTTCTAACATAAGTTCGGCATTAAAACGGCTCGAAAATGTTTCTGTGAAACTACCTACCCTAAAGATGGTAGAAATATGTATATACTAAGCTATGAACCAAGATTGTTGAATAGTAAGGTTAAATCATATCTTATAAGAGCGCCATCACGACTTTGCCGAACTTATAATCTCGAATTTTATTATATTTTTTATATCTATAATGTCTTCTTTTTTCCCTCGTTTTTTTAATCGAAGTATGTTAATTTATTATTAGCAACGGATGCCACTAGTTAAACATTAACCGATTACTTTACCAAGTATCTGAATTCACCCGGTTTTGATGAGACTCGTTACTTATTTAGTTTCGATAGGGTTTTGTGGACTGTTGTTTTTTTCCTTTCGCCGTATGTAGTGTCTGTATTTGATTAATGGTTGGAACCCCCCCCCCCCCCCCCCCCTCCCTTTTTTTTTAAAATGGCTGGATCCGCCCTGTAAGCTGTGCAACTTGCTGGAGGATGAAACATACTTCCTCCTTGTATGTAAATTAACGAAAATCTTATTAAAAATTTATTTTGAATTTTACTTACTGATAATTGTATAAGTCTGTATATGTCTCTCAACAAAGAATAAAATAATAAAGATATACTCAACCCATCTACTATGGAACATGTCAAAGTTATTGACTCCCAGTTATTAGAACTGTGGGCAGAAGTCTCATACTTTTTCATGCGTTTATTTGTTATCAGTTGAAATATTATTTTTTTATATATTTGTTTCTATTCCATGTCACAAATAATTATAAGTTTATATGATAATAAAGTGTTAATTAATCTAAAAAAAAATATCTCATCAAAAAATGGTGTCGATTTTTTATCATAATTTCGATGATTAAAAACATTCTTAAAGTTACATTTGTTCGTACATACAAGACATAATATGTATGCAAGAACTTTTTAGCCCATTTAATTTTTTTATTGGTCTGACATCTTCGATACGTTCAGTTTTTAGATATTTGATTTCGGGCACCAATGAGAAGCAATGAGTTTGGTAAATGCGCATATGGTTAAAACATTAACGTTTATTCTATAATTGTCTCTTATTTCAATCGTCAGAAACTTATGATTGTACTCAAAAGGTGTTTTAAAATTGCAACTGCGGAATCAATGAGTTATCAGTAAAATGTTGCCATGATTTTGATAACATACTTTATTCCTTATGTGACCACTTTTATTTGCCGTTGTTGCATTTTCATAACGCCATCTAAGATAATAGCAACATACGTGCAATCAGTGTACTTGAGACCATTTAAATTTTACATTCTTCAAATGATTTTTTTAAAAGTATTTGAGCTTTTGGAACATTATTAATCAGAATAGTTTTGTACAAGCATCTGGTTATTTTCATTACTAGAACAGCTGCTATATGTCACTCGATAGTTATGAGGTACTTTATTTCTAGTAACTATATTGTTCGATTTGAAATTTTTCTCTGTTCATATGAGTTTTTAGAAGTACTGTTTACCCATTCTCAGATCAATACATGCAGTAATACAGAATTCCATCAGATGGTGTTTTTAAAGATAAAAAGATGGCTGTAGAACCTTATGTTAAAAAAACTTCACGCTACAGGGTTCTTTTAGAGTCCAACATTCGGCCTTACGTTCACTAAAACAGAGAAAGAATAAAAATCCACTTGAAAAGGGTTAATTACAAGATTGCAAGATTGTTTGGAAACAATACTGCTTCAACTTTCTGTTCTTTTGATGCCTCCAACTA